TTACAGAAATTAAAGAATAACTGCACAGAAATTATAAAATCGCATAAAAAATTTATCACATTAAATCACAGAATTTGTCTTAACCACATACAGAATTTAGTCTTAATCACCGTCCCTGCGTCCATGCATTAAAATTTATGAACTCTGCGTAAATTCTGCGTTATTATTTATGAATTCTGTGTTTATTGTAATAGAAACTTCGAATGTTCTGCAATAAGTTGATTAATTCTTCGGATAATTTCAGATATCAAGCAAAACTTTTAACTCGACTGACTATGCTCGTATTTTAGGTTCATTTATTTTCTACACTGAAAATTTTCGAAAGCTATATTTTTAGCTTTTTAGCATCATACGTACTTTAAAAAAATCAAAAACCTACTTTCTGCGACAATTCCGTGCTACCCTTGACGCATTCCGTGTTTAGGACCTGATTCCGTGATTTCTACGGCATTCTGTGAAATGCAGAAAATCATCGGCCCTGGTCCATGTGCGCTATTTTGAAATAAAGCATCAAAAAAATTTGAACCTAATGCATATGTTGTACGTACGTCAAATTAAAATCAATCAAAATAACTATAATGCCCTAATAAAGCAGTATTTAAATTTTAATCTTCAATTTGACGTAAAATATAGCTCTAAATCGTAAGTAAATGAAGCTCTTAACTTTGAAATTATTATCATTCAACAGTAATTGGTTAGTAAAAGAATACTTAGAACGTTTCAATGTTTATAACGTGACGATTATAAAAACAAAATTCTACATAGCAGTAATAGTAAAGCCAATCAATCAATCACATGGTGCAACATTTGATATCTCAATACAGCAATATAGTGTTTAAAGATGTTTCTGTAGGACGTTTGAGCTTTTTAATCAAAATAAGTATAATAAAATAAGATAAACAAAATACAAAAACTTCGATCAAAGAAAATATTTTATAACCAACAAACATCAACAGTAATACGAAAACTGCAATATGGATATACTATTCTATTTATACCAAGAACGGGACTAGGGTCCGCATAATATGCACATTAACATGGTGCATATGCGATAACATATTTTACATATCGGAGTAGATTTCGCATAATTTGTAAAACTTTTTGGCAGATTAAATACATCGCTACCTTAATAAGGATCCGATGTAGACAATTAGTGAACCTAAAACACGAGCGTGTTCCTCGAAAAAAAGCGGAGGGTTGGGACCGATTTTTTTAAAAGCTCGATCTTAATTCACAGAATTATGCCAAAGATTTACGAAATTTATCGCGACCATAAAAGTGAACAAATAAAAAAATATTGTACACACAATAAAACAAAAAAATACTAATTGAATTGCAAAATGATGTAATCGATAAGCATCTAATTTACGCAAATCTTTAGCATAAAAAAATAGCCATTAACATCATAATTACGATTAGAATTTATCCAATTTTTTAATCGTAATTAATCGTGTAATTTATAGTTAAGAAATGTCAATTTCTTTAATGATTCTAAATTTCGAGCTCTGATTACTGAATTATATACGTCTTTAAACATGTGATGACAATGATCGTACAATATTACCTATTCTGTTGGCATGCATAAATTTAACATTAAGTGTATTAAGTGTGTACGCTCGTACATACGATGTACGTACCTGGTACGTACGTACGTACGTATATACGTACAAATCTCAACTGTTAACAGTAAAGCCTGTCTTCTTCTGGGGCAATTATTATATTATATCGACGATCAAGTCTATCATTAAGTTTTTCTATTTTGAGAAAATTATTTAACCCTTCAGACTTCTGATACTTTGATTCGAATACTTCGATCACTATGAGTATCACATCGTCTAAAGCCGAACAGCATTCAAGGACTTCCGTTCCAAATCTAAAAATTGATACTAAAAGAGATTCTACTATTGGTATAGTTTATAACATTGTCCATTAGGAAAACATTTATGTCTGACTATGTAAAATCCGTATAGAAACATGAGCATTTCTTACTGTGTACTTGAGATTTTACATAGTTGAAGTAACTGTTTTCCCGGTTTTATAACAAAAGAGTAGAAATCTTTGTGTATTTAGTTATCTCTTATTATATAATTGTAGAAGAATCTTTAAAAACTTATCAGCTTTTGGAAGCACTTCGTTCAGGTATTTATCCAATTTTCTTCAAATTATATCATTTTATAGGCCATTTTCGCAATTAGTGGCTTTTTGTGGCAAAAATTCTATTTTTTCGAATATTTTTTATCTGTGTAAATTATCGGATCAAAAGTTCTGAGAAAAAAATAATTCAAGTTCTTGATTCTGTGGATCAAGTAACTGTAGAAGTTACTGTATTTATATTAATTTTATTTTACATAATATTTACCATCATATTTAATATTTAAAAATATTTATTAGGCGATACAACGGTGCTTTCATCACTTTTGTCTAACTACAGTTTACCAACATCGTCACAAAGCTCAATTACCAGCGACAGTAATCATGTTATACCACCTTCACCCCTTATACTTGCAGTACAATGTGCAACAATGACCACTATTGAATTTATTATTACAAATTTTTCTCATATTATTGAAATTAATCAAAGAGATCAACATGGAAATACAGCATTACATTATGCCGCAAAATCAGGAAGAATCGATATTATTGATTTATTAATGAAACAAAAATATATAAATGATACTATAACAAATCATGAGGGCAAGCAACCGGTAGAAGTTGCTAAAAATCGTGAAGTTGTTAATTTTCTGGAAGGTAATTATTATTATTTTAAAATATTTTTATGGTGTATTTGATTGATTATTCAATTGTT